GGAAAATCCGGATGTATGGTAACCCTACTGGCTAATTGTCCCTTCAGTCCTATCCCCTTCTGGGGTGGGGAGTGGGTGGGTGGGAGAGGTTTAGTTCCAAAATGTTCTTAAACAAAAAGCAAATCCAACTCAACATTGGGCCATCCACCATTCTTCCCATGGGGTGTCCAGGCCCTTTCCTTTGGGTTTGGTTGCCAAACAGTCCCTTACTCGTGTGTGGTTCGCTCCCTAGAGTCTAACTTCTCCTCCCACTGCTGCTCCGATTAGCAGGCCCCGCTCTATGCAACTCTGCAGGCAAAACTCCCTTCAGGCAGAGAGCTCCATCTTCCTTCCTGGCCAATCAGGCCTGAACTGAGCCAGGATCCCTCCTTTTAACTCCCCTGCAGGCTTGGCACTGGCTGCAAGCATAGCAGGGTGGGGCTAGCTGGGCCCAAAAGTTCTCCTTAACCCCTTCTCTGCTGTTGTGGGACTACTGTAAAACCATAATAAAATCAGACCTGAGCCAAATCTGGAAACCTTTCTTTGAATCTCCTAAGTGTTGGTGGTTCAGTTAAAATGGAATTTGGATCCTGACTACCCCAAATATCACTTTAGCAAAGCCAACAGTCTCCTCAATGAACCTTTAAAATAAATTTAATAAGTAAATATAATGGAATTAGTCCATATTGGTTACCTATGCACTCACCAGAGTCCTTTATATATTATCCTTTTCTTGCACTCATTCATTTAAATTATGCAAACTTTAAAATGGACACCATAGACTGCAGAATTTAAGTCCAAAATTTGTGTCAGCTCAACACTGGCTGCTGGCCAAAGCATTACGGATTCTATTTTTTAAACCATTCCATCAGCTCCACTGCTCATGATCACAGAAAGCAGATTAGTATGAACACACAATGCTACTTTACAGAGGTCAACGAGCAATTCCAGAGCCATGCACATTCCCACTGAAATCCTCAGTGATGCTGATGAATTTTTATTGACACAATACTAGTGTTAGACATTCTATTTATCAACAAGAGGACAAATTTGGAAAGGAAAACTATTTTCACATTGTTACAGAGAGGATTAGCAAGTAATAAGGATTAAAATAGAAAAAAATAGCACACATGTAAATGAGGGAAGAATTGAAGAAAGGGGGATGTCAATAATGTCTCTTTAAAAGATAAAAATCTAGCCTAATTTACAATTAGGTGGAAAGTATAAGTCTGAAGCATTTAATTCTTTATGCAAGTTAACGTTTATTGTCAGTTTAGATAGTGGACCTACCAGCTTCCTACAATAAGAACCAATGAATTCAGTTCCCTCATTGTAAGGACCTTCTTTAAAGCTTTCAGCAAATTGCAGCCTCCACTGGGTTGCAGCTCCTGCACCCACTGTCTTGCTTCATCTAGGCTAGGAAGACAAAATTAAAAAAAGTTATTGTACACTTAAGCAGTATATGGCCTTTTTTATTCAGCATCAAGATCACATACCTCCTGGTTGATGGCTAAGATCTCCTGTGTGATTTACCTGTATGAATGAGCAGACTCACTTGCATTGTACTCACAATTTATTTCTGTATTTTTTCTGGCAAATCACTGAAGGCACAAAACTACAGCTACAATTCATTATGAGCACAAAACTGCTCCTAATTAAAAGGAGGCCCTGTTTGAAAACCCATTGTTATAAGCTAGGAAACATACTTACATGCGCACATTGACGTTTGTTGGATTCTCCCATAGAGATGAAATCTCAGTACCAAAGGAGAGGAAATATAACTGCTTCTTATAACACAGCTGTTCATCTATTAGAAACTTAATAAAAAAATGTTAGTGAGTTAATATCCCTGCTATCACTGGAGTTATCATATACAAGAAAAAAAATTGTGATTTGCTAAAGTCACTTCAGACTGTAATATTCTGAGCTACTATAGAGGAGAACTAGGTTCAGAACTGAAGTGACACAGATTTAGTTTTAGTGTGGCTCACTGAGATACAGCAACTTAACCTAGTCCTTGTGCACCATGCTGACATAGTATTCCCATTCAGTTGGTTAAATGGGGAAAATACATACTGTGTCAATTTCATCAGCACCCTTTAATAGGCAAGCAAATGAGAGAGAAATGATATTGATTCAGAAAGCACATGTTCACCTATTGAGCTGTGATCATATGAGCAACTGAAAAAGAATGAAGCAGCTATGATAGGATGTCAGATAAAAGTAGCTTTCACTTCTAGGGCTATCCCTTAGTTAGGGCATTCTAGGCCCTTGTCAACTGGAGAGTAACAATTTTCTTGAAGTATCTTTACTTATGCTGCACGAATTAACAAAGAAGTAGGCGCCAATCAATTTTAAGTAACCTTCACTGGTATATGAAGAAAGATTGTACAGAGAAAGCTTCAAAACCAGAAAATAGAATTGTTATTGTGACATTATAGTGTCTACCTTTAATAATCCTCACTAGAAACACTTTGTAAAAATAAAGAACAACAGAAAAACACACTTTTGTTTCTTTTGGAAGTTGGGGAAGAGACTGTAAGTCAGCAAGGTCCTGACCCAACAAAAAGCACACTTTACTGCAACTGCATCCTATTCTTTATAGGCATAGTACTGCATGTACAACTTGGCTCTCAGGTACTATGAACTATTTCTTTCTATTATGTACATTACTCTAGCACAGGGGTTCTCAACCTTTTTCTTTCTGAGGCTTCCCCTCAACATGTATAAAAACTCCACAGTCCACCAGTGTCACAACAACTGTTTTTCTGCATATAAAAGCTAGGGCCAGAATTAGGGGGTAAGAAACAGGGCAATTGCCCAGGGTCGCATGCCACAGGGGTCCCCACAAAGCTAAGTTGCTCAGGAGTCGGCTTCAGCTCCAGATGGCAGGTCTGGGAGCCCTGGACTTCAGCCCCACACTGCGAGGCTTCAGCTTTCTGACCTTGGCCCCAGCAAGTCTAACACTGGCCCTGCTTGGCGGCCCCCTAGGGGCCCCTAGAACTCTGGTTGAGAACCGCTGCTCTAGCAAATGCTTTTGAAGCACGTATGTCTGGGGCTGGTTAATATTTGAAGTCAGGTCTTCAATTTTTATTATTGTGGCAGATGCTTAAAATTTTTGAATCTGGATATTAAACAAATAATTTATACTTTAAAAGTGATTAAGGTAAATCTATACATCTCCAGCAAATTAACTGTTGATACTTAGAGTAATATGTAAGCAAATGATTATTACACTTACTTTCTCCCCTGCACTCGGAGAGTCTTACTTAACTTACTTTAAGAGTCAGAGTCTCTTTCAGAATTATTTACCAAAAGGTCTTTCTGGAACTCAAATAGTCGAGGTCCACAACTTATATCGGATACATCAACCAGGAGTCCAACTTTGTTGCCTTTTATAAGGCCGAACACCTAAACATATAAAATGTTCATTTAAATAGTTTGTGCTGATCTAACTTTAAATTTCAGTATGTACCTCTTTATGCTGCCATTTTCATTTAAAATATTACATATTTATTGTCACTGTTACTTTTTAAGCATTAAAAAAAATGAGACAATGACAGAGCAAAAAGAGATAGGAATTTTGAATTCTAGCTTCTGTTCCGAGTGGGCAATACTCCCAAGATGACATGTTTGTTACTTGAGAAAATGAAGGATTACTCAGTTCCATAGTATCCCCATCAGTAGGGTGACCAGATAGCAACTGTGAAAAAACGGGACAAGGGGTGGGGGTAATAGGTGCCTATATAAGAAAAAGTCCCAAAAAACGAGACTGTCCCTTTAAAAACGGGACATCTGATTTCACCCCCCCAATCAGACCAGTTAAGGGTGCTAGCTTTTTGGATACTGCCAATATGCAATCCCTGCTTATATAATCTTTGGAGGTAACAGTCAGAAAGTTAGGGACTATGTTTAAAAAGTAAAATAGCCATCTGAATAAAGGCTCAAAACATATCTTAAATGAAACCTCAATCAAGAAGACAAAACATTGCTCCATTGTGCTCTAGTTACTCACAATATGGGAAAAATACAAAAAAGCTTTCTCGGTGGGATTCTAGACAACTATTAAAGAGTTAATTTATCCTTTAACACCATATGCAGGTTCCCCTTTAAAAGCATATTAAAATGTTAACATTACCTTTCTGCTGTCCTCCAACAGCCACTGAATTCGCTGGTGATAAAGTTCAATTGCTCTGACAAAATACAGTGCACACATTTAAATAATGCATTCTCTTGAATAGTATGTCAATTTAAGTTCAGATCTGTTTTTATCATTGGCCAGGTTTTCCATCACGTGCACAACCATCTTCCACAAATATTCTATTTACAACGTTCTCAACTGTGATACAGCACTAGTGGCTGTGGTGTTAATTATTTAAATACTTCTTCCTCTGAACTTGTTTAATTGTTTAAATATCTAATTGCCTTGAAAAAATGAGATCAGCAGAATGCTCTATAATTAGTTGTGTTTGGATAAAGTGTGTGATGTGTGTGTATGGATGAAGGAAAGTTCAGCCAAAAGTCAAGTCAATTCATCCTATCTATTTAGCTTATTGGCTGGAGATTTATTTAATCCAAACCGTACAAACTGATTTTTTTTTTTAAATGGTAAAGTCTCTTGATTGTGGGACAAAAGGAGCAAATTTATCAGTATTGAAAAATGTTTTGGTGATTCTATTACAAATCTCTTTTTCAATTATGTAACCAAATTTAAAGGATTTATAATTGGAGTGAAACTTAGGATTTGCTGTCCCAGCACTAGAACAAACTGTTTCAGAATTATTTTTAAATAACTTGCGTTTCAACACCATGCTCATGGTTTTAGAACTGAGAAAAGGTTAAAAGAAAGGATTTTTATGAAAAAGCTCTTTACTTCCCCAGAATGCAAGCCTATTTTTAATTATTTTTACCAAAATTTTGCAGGCAGCTCATTCACAATACACAGATAGCGAGTCCTGAAAAGGGGCATCCTGAGGAATCTGGGTCTCTGTATGTGATACATGGCAGTAGACCTAGGAACTAGCAGACAGATGTATTTATGGAAGATTGAGAGGATTACTATAATATTATTCTGCAGTATACTGAGCATATTTATCAGATCGGTTCTTTAAATGTAAAAAAAAAAAAAAAAAAAAAGGTTTCTTCCTCCCTCCCCAAAACACACACCCACACACACACACACACACACACACTTTTTTAGCATACCAGGATCTGTGTGGCTCAGGTCTCATAACAGCCTTTCACTGTTAGGTCATCAGTTTGAAACAAATCCAGGTCAGTAGCAACAAAAATCATTACCCATCTGACGGATGTTCAGAGGCTATCTGAGATGAGTTGATTGTTAAGATCCTATTTGACAGGTATCATCACAAAAGCCACCACCACCAGGGGTTCTAATGGACACTGAGCGAACCCATATTCCCTAGAGATTGCCTTTCAGTACTGAGGTACACTAGAAAGGCAGCATGGGGGAAGCTTTCACAGCTGCTGTTTATGTTTCATTTGTTGCATCTCCAGGGTTGACCCAGCCCAACATCAGATATGAAAAAAAATCATTTTACAACTATCTAAGTTTGGAGGAAGGAAATCACTCTTGTACTTTGAAACAGTAGCACATATTATTATATACTTACTCAGACAGCTTGGATTCAAAATTAACAACTGTCTTGGCAGCAAACTCTATCTGTTCTGTGGCATTTCTTGCATTCCTAGAACAAAGTATATATTTAACATGAATAATATAAGCAAACTGATTGATTAAGAAGGGATGGCATTGTACTCACAAGACAATATTGCCCTTCTTTAGGAGATCTTCTAATGTTAATTGCATGGATTCTAAACTGTGGTTTCTTAGCCATTCTTCTGTGGTTTGCACCTCACTGGATCGCATTTTCCTGTTTTGCACTCTCTGTAGATCAGAAGCAGGAGAAAAGTTAAAGGTAGTGATAGGAAACAGCAAGTGTTGTTCTAATGTAGCCAGTGCTGAGGGATGGCAGGAAAGACGTATTATTTAGTAAATTAAACCACTGATACAAATCTACTTGCAGCAAGCAGGAGGCCTTGGGATCTGGAACAGAAGGAATGCTGTCTGGAGTGTATTATAGCAGACACCAAAGAAGGTGCCTGCTACATAGTTTCAACAGGCATTATAGTCTGTTATTTCCTCTTGGAACATAATATATTAGACGCTTATTAGTAGCAACATATTAGTGCCCTTTTGCTATGTTGCTCCTAAGCGGCTGTTGCTGTTATTGGGAGTGTCAACAATTCACAGTATGGAAAGTGTACTCAGGGGAAATGTTGCTCGTAAGCAGTGGTTGCACTTACAAGGTGTTGCTGCAAACAAGCATCTACTGTACATGTAATTCAACAAATAAATTACTGTGATGCCACTAGAGGTCACTGTCCCTCTTCATTTTCCTGTTTCATAATAGCTTAATTATCCATAGAATCAAAAAGAACCATAAGCTATTCCTCTCTTTCTTTTCTTTATTATTTTTTTAAGAACCAACCAACAAAAAGGTAGGAAGATGCAAGAGTTCTATTGCTACATGGAGAAGAGAATAACCATTAAGGACACTGGAGATGATTTTATTGTGTATAATATATACATTTGCTGATGTAAAGCACTGATACTCATGAAAGTTGATACCTAAAATAGAGAAAATTAGATACTCAATAGTATTTGCTCTCATTTCCTTCTCAATTTAAACCCAGCAACATGTGAAAAAGCACATCACGGAGCATAAAGGTAGGTGGAAATTGCAGTCAGAAAAATCTTATTTTGTGAATTTAAGACAACACAGGAACAGCTGATAAACACAGCAGCATGTAAATGAAAAGAATTATTATAACAGTTGACCTAGCTGGTCCAGAGACTGCCATTAACTGAAGAACCTACTATATTTCAAACATTGGATAGTCCATAGGGCTGGTAATGATCACATCTGTACAAATCTCAATAAGGAAAATGGAAAACTTGTTTGCTTCCAGTAGCACCACAATGTGCTAGGCATTTTCCAGTCAGACAAGAAGTAATGGTCCCTGCCTTAAGGAGCTCACAATAAGAGGGTGTACGAGTAAGGACTACAACGAATTAGTAGAGTGGTCAAGGTGGTGATTGGCCATGTCACCACAATAAGGTTAACAGGATTTTAAATTAAAAAGGCAGATCATTTTAATTACCTCTAGAATGTACTTATAAGTCTACCAATTTCCCTATAAACATCACAGCAGAATTGGGTCTTTAGGAGGGATTTTAATGCAGAGAGGGTAGAGCCCTTGTCAATGAACTGAAGAAGGGCATTCCATGCATGGGTATAGTGTGGAAAATAAACATCTCCATGCCTTCTAAGAAACTAAACAATGGGTGAGTGAAGCTGGCATTGCTAGGGGGACAATTCAAAACAAGACAAAGGTACATAATTAGTTATGCAGGGCTTTGAAACATTGGACAAAAAGCTTAAATTTTACATGTGGGGGGAGAAGAGGAACCAGTGGAGGGATTTAGAGGTGAGGACATAACATGATCAGAACAACGGACAAAGAAAATAATTTTAACAGCAGCTCTTTGAACAGATTTGAGAAGAGTGATGTGGATGTTAGAGAAGATGCTGCAGTAACCAAGATTAGATACAATGAAAGCTTAAAATCTGGCCTTCTCTTTCTATCCCTTATTAAGAGATGTTGCGGAGAAAAAAGCCAGAAGGACTCAGACATAGCTTGGACGTGGGGGGCAACATGTGAGAGGAAGGAGTCCTGGAAACACCAATATTGTGGGCTTGAGCGATGGAAAGGTTAATGATTTTGTCAATGGTGATAGAGAATGGATAAGAGGGCAGAGAGGGGATAGAAAATAAAGAGCTCAATATGGAAGAAGTTCATTATGTATTTTATAGAAGGACAGGAAGACTTAAATTTCCTTAGCCTGATTCATTGATTTAAAAGTTGAGGAATTGGGGTGGGGGGAAGGGGGAGAGTAGATGAAAATTTAACGAACAAAAAGTTCATGGATCTAAACATTTATAATTTTACCTTGCTTACAGGCTCTCAGGCAACTTAGCCTCAAGAGATATACCTGCTGGTACACAGATCTCCTCAAGAAAAGTTGCCTATATTCATTGTGGCTTTGGTGATAACAATTACTGTGTTCTTTTTTGTGAATGCATAAGTGATAGTGATAGAACATTAATTTTCTGTCTCCTCATATATTCCCTTCTATAAATGTAATGTATCATCTGAGGAATTACTGCATATTTGCTTACCAGCAGGTCTTGTGTCTGGTTGATGTGTGTAACTAGTAATCCATTATCGGGCTCCAAATCTGTTATTGTAATATCATGCCAGGATGGTCGGCCTTTCACCGGAACTGCGTCAGATCCAATGCTTACCCTACAAAATAAGGCATTTCAAAAACTGGGCAGTTGTTTGCATCCCTGAGAGTGCTGTTGCACTGTCGAATAGTCCATTTATAAAATTGTTCCTCATTACCCATAAGAATTAAACATTCTGGTATCTGTTGAACAACTAAGAATTCTTATGCTCCATTTTAAGCATCCCAATATACATATGCATAGAAAAATGTAGTCTGCATCACCAGAGATGTATATATTTCCATTTAAGCATTTCCCCTAAGGATTTTGCAACATCCTTACCCTACTTTTTCCAAGAACTGATCATTGTCCAATAACTGAGCCATTTTTCTGGTTTGTGCATCCATTGTATTATGACCAAAGATTTAACCTTCTTTAAAAAAAGAGACATAGCATTAAAGAGTGGAAGTTTAGAATATCAAGAATAAAAGCTATATATAAATGCTTGATACAAGGTATCACTCTCCTAAGATTATAGTCCCATAGACACAAATCAACAGAAACCACATACTTAATTATATTGCGTGCAGTGCCTGTGACCAAGAAAATTAAAAAAAGAAGTGGACGTTATTCTTTGATTATTATTACATAATATACTTGGAAACCATTTTGCTAGAAGTCATTCACCAAGGGTACCCTGCCAGTATGAAGCACAAATGCAATTTTTAAAGCATCTTATATGTGACCAGACAGACACATATGTCAGCACACTAGCCATGTGTACTTTGGGTTTATCTTTTGGTTGGACTGTCCCCTGTACTTCAATAATAATGGCAATTTAACTATTCAAGACAAGTTGGGTGAGGTAATATCTTTTATTTGACTAACTTCTGTTGGTGAGAGAGACAAATTTTCGAGCATACACAGAGCTCTTCTTCAAGTCTGGGAAACTTACTTGGAATGTCATAACTTAATACAAGATGGTACAGATTAATAAGCATAAGTAGCTACTGGATTTATGGCTTGTTATAACAATCTATAAAAGCAACAAGGAGTCCGGTGGCACCTTAAAGACTAACAGATTTATTTGGGCATAAGCTTGTGTGGGTAAAATAATCTACTAATAACCCCCACCAGCTAATTCCCCCCTTCCTTTCCTCCTTATGACCGGGGAGAGGTGTTAACGGGCCACTTCACCTTGAATGGTCCCTTGAAATGTGTTAACTACTTATGCTAAACTCTCTGTTCCACCTTGTATTTACCTGTGAGTAAGTTTCCTAGCCCTGAAGAAGAGCTGGAAAGCTTGTGTCTCTCTCACCAACAGATGCTGGTCCAATACAAGATATTCCCTTACTCCCCTTGTCTCTCTCCTATCGTGGGACCCACACAGCTACAAGCACCCTGCAGACAATGTAACTGTCCGTTATTTTACAGCCATGCACCCCACTGACTATCTGCATTTGTTCTGATCTGACATTTCCTTCTTCTGAGCAAAGACCCGAGCCCCAGGGGCCTGACACCCTCAGCGCCCAGCGCAGTCAGCGGGAGCGGAGGGCGCGCAAAAGGCGCCGGGTCCGGCCCGGGGAAGCCCAGGCGCCTCTGAAGGGACTCGGGAGCTGCGCAGCCAGAGGGGGCTGAAGCATTTGAACCTTGGCCGGCGCGAGCCCGTTCGAGTTCAGCTCGCCCCGGCTTCTGCAAGAACCCGCCACCCCCGCCCCTTGCAGCGCTCCGGCCTCACCCGCTCCTGTCCTTCCGCGGCTGGAGCGGGCCGGACAGAACAAGGCAGCCGGGCCAGCCGTGTGTTAGCGCGTCGCTAACAGAAACGGGAGGAACTATTCCCCGCCCGGCAGGGGCTGGGTGTCCTCCCCCCCCCATGCCAGGGAGTGGTACGGTCCGCTGGGCAGGGCTGCGGCGCTGCAAGCCGGCCGGGGTGGGCGTGTAGGGGCCTGGCATGCCGCTTCCCAGCCCAGCCGGGGCGGGTAGGTGGCGGCTCTCCAGGGCCGCCTCCGGCGGGGGCTGCAGCAGGCGCGGCTCGCAATCAGTGCAGACGGGGCCAGGCCTGTCGTAGACAATTTATTTTGATAAACTTGCTCGATAACAAAAATACAAGTGAAGAAAAAGTCTGTTCGTTTGCACAGTCTGTAGTAGCAGGTGCCTGGCCATCAGCGCCTGAAGCGTGTCCTAGGCTGGGGGAGGAGACCGCTGCAACACCGATTTTCCCGCCGCCCGGGAGCGAGTGGCAGACACCTCTTGCCTTCATCTTTTCCATCCTTCGCACCGTTTGCAGAAGACGGCCTGGAGTGTAGCCAGGCTTCCTGGTGAATGGGCATGTCCAGGCTTGGGCTGCAGTGCTTACACAGAGGCTCTGAAACAGCAGTACCGGTCCATGGAGTCGGGGGGGCCTAATCCTGCAGCTGAGCGTGTCACTCAAGAGAAAAGCCCATTGAAACTAACCCAAAGAGAGTTCTGCTTGAGTAAAGGCAGGAGCAGGATTAAGTCTAGAGTTGTTACACAATACCAGCATTTTGGACCAGTTGTTAAATGCCTAGAGGCTCAGCAATGAAAGTCAAATGGTGAATGGGTTTGTAAATGCTTTCAGAGAATCATACTGCCCAACAGAGAAACTAAAAAAGCTTCTAGTGAGTTATTCCTTCTGTCTTCAAGAAGCGTTATACAGACACATTTACAATTTTCCTTTTTAAAGTATTTTAAGTTTCTGATTAGGATTTGAGGTTAACAGATAAAACTACAAAATGCATACATAAATTGCATTATGCTGTGACATTAAACCTTTCAGGTGATAATGAAATGAAGACTACACAAGGGTGTGCTGTGACCTATAATAGAATAAACTGTCCTTCAAAATATATAAAATGGCTGTCAGAGTCTGAAAAGTTTACGTAAACAACAACATGTAACATGGATTATTACCTTTGGAGAAGATTCATACTGAAACATTTGCTTTAATGAGTTGAAAGTCTACAGATGTTTAGGCATGTTCAACAGGAACTTCCTGTAGTTTAAAAACTAATCCTTGTGCAAATAAAACCTATAAATAGTATTCAGCAGATTTTACAGTGATGCTCTTAGGTATGAAAAGAATGCACACAACTTTAAAACAAAAGTAACAGACATAAATTTGACAAATGATTGCACCATAGAACAGTGTTTTATATACAGTTTACAAGATATGATTTTCTGCTATAAATTAATACTGTACTATATAGTACTTAGTGACCTTATTAAAAAGCAACTATTGACAGCTGTCTCTTTTCACTTACAGGGACATTTTTAATGCAAATGGATCCATCTAGTTGTAGACTGAAATGCCCAAATATTAACTAAAACAGCCTGCTAGCTGAAGCGATGCGGTCTTTCAATGATTCATAGGATTGGCTAACCCACTAAGGTTCCAGCCAGCCATTCATGGACTGGATATGCTTCATGATAAGTGTTTATTTTTTTTTTTAATTAAATGGTAATACATTTTAAATATAAGCTTAAATGATGATTATTATTATACAGGATGTCACTAACTGAAATAAGTAAACATGGGGGAAAATTCTTAGCAGCTGAGAAACTCTTCCCCCACCCCCATGTCTGTGATCCAATTAAAATATTTTATGGAACTATTTACAATAAGACTGACATTTCTGAGGGGGAAAAAAAGCTATTAGCTTATCAAATTAATTAGTGAGCTATGATTCATTGTTGACACATTATATCAGGCTATACCACCAGTCTTATAACACTGCTGAAAACATTTAGACCCCCGTCCTGCAATTGGATCTACCCAGATTGCATCCATATACAGAGCTCCATTGATATCAGTGAAGCTCTGGATTGCCTGTGCAACTATGACTGCAAGATCAGGATCTAAATTAAAAACCAATCAAATTTGAACTAGCAGTTCCAGATGAGAATCTGGCTGTATATTCTTATACTTCAGAAAAATGTAGAGAGATTTTGATGTGAAAGCTTCCTTCGGCCTGTGGGTGAACTGATAAGAGATTTTTCTACAACAAAGAGAAAGTGATCCAATACATCAATCAGGTAATTTTTCCTCACTAATATACTTCTAATGGTACACAGGTCAATATAATTGTATAAGGTATCTCATTTCTAACACTTGTTTCTGCCATGGTAGCTGTTTTTTTTCCAAAATAACTATAAATACATTTCAGAAGCAATATAATCATCATTCTTACCAGTTTCACTTATGCCTTATAAAAGCATAAGTTTAAGTAATGCAGCTCTTTTCATAAGTACATTTGGACAGACACTTTGTTGTCAAGAGATACGTTTGTCAATACTTCCCCACAAAAAGATTAAATATTAACTGGGGAATAAGGGCTTGATCCTGCAAGCAATCTTCCTGGCACATCAATCAAAGTTTTGGGCTAATAAAGGTCAGATTTTAAGTGAATATTGAACTATACAGCACTATCCATGGATCCAAGGTTTATACAGTTCTTGTATTTAAAGAATGTTGATTTCAGGGGAAAACTTACACTCTGAATTCAGATGGTCCTTATGCCCACACTTATCTTCAACTTTAGTAAACAAGGCATATGGACATTAAAAACAGTTATATTGCTCTTTTTTGGTAAAGAAGATGAATTAACTTAATACTCACAAGTGAAAATAAATTCATCCAACTTTACTACAGAATAGTGTTTTTACAGGTTGACCTAAACACTGAATGTTATATGCATTAGAGAAATTTACCTATGGTAAATTGCTGTGCTTGAACATGTATAAATAAATTCATTGTTAATGTAACAAACAAAGCAGTAGAAAAGAGACTCCCTGTACAACAGTTGCTAATAATTTAAATAGTGTCAGTTTCCCAAAATTAGGATTTTAACTTTAAGGTATGACGTGATCTCACCTTCTACCCTCATATACAAATAAATTACCATACAAAGAATTTTAGCTTAACTTATAATTGCACCTAGAAAGGCATGGGATTGTTTGTACCTATTACAAAAACCTGTTAAAATCAAGGGCTGCTACAAAGAATGAGGTAAACTGAAGACTCTCAGCTATGTGGCCTTCAGAGCAATGGCTTTTTTCTATTGAGTTCTAGTTTTGCACACCACAGTGTTCTGCTAGCAAAGCGTTCTGAGTTATCTTCCAGGAACTGTTTGTGTGTATACATATATATATATATACATACACACACATACATACATACACACACACACAGTATACTGCATCAGCAAAATATATGTGTGTGTGTGTGTATAAATATAAAGAACCCCCCCCCCCAAAAAAAAAATATTTCTTAGTGTTTTTCTACAGCTGAAGGGGGATGTATGTCATTTTTGTTGTTACACACATTGTAAAGAACATATTTTGATCTATTGGCTTCTTGGTGCAGTAATGCAAGATGGATTCATTTTGGTGCCAAAGACTTTGCCCATCAGAAAGAAGATGTAAAATGCTAATCTCCTAAATTGTGAGGCCAGCCTCACTTGAACTCCTTTGCAACCCTCTGGTCTACCACAAGGTTCATAAATACTTTGATTTTCAAATGGTTAGACGTTAAAAACAGATACAGTAACATGGGGCAATATGCTTCTCAGTGTAAAGCATTCTTCTTCACTAGTCCCTATCACAGTGCAGACCTGACTGCATTAATATGCTCAGGAGATTAGTCAACGATGTCTGTATTTGGTTATGGGAAAGGCTCTTTTTTTTTTTTTTTTTTTTAATCCAAAGTGCATAGTGAGAACAAGTCAAAGCATTCCTCTTTTCAGTAAGCATTTGATAGTCTGATCTAGGCTTTCTCCTGAGAATGCAACTCTGATATCTTGCTCTCCTCCGAAACAAACTCATGCAGTTCAGATACTCATCAGCCAGGTAAACAAACTTTGCCGGCAAATAGAAGTCCCACTATTGTAAAGAAAATGGATAAGACAAACAGTACATACGAGGACCCAACCACTGTGTTGTTGGGCAATTTATATGGTTGACCTCCAACTTCATTGATGTAAAATCCTATTGGAAATATTAGGGCTGCCATGCAGAATAGGATCACTGCAAAACAAACAAACAAAATCAAAGTTAGCATCTTGTTGAAAGTCAAAATGTTTGCCAGTTTGTAGGGCACCAATGTCTAACTCACAGGAAACCAATCATGTGGGACATACCCTGATCTTAACAGATCCCTGCTCTCTGTTCCAGAGGAAGGTGAAAAAAAGACTCAAGCTCCTGTCAGTATGCAATGGCACAAAGTTCATTCCTCACCCCCAGTTTATTAATCATTTGAACAATGTTCAGAAGAGCAAGAATCACTGTTAAAGATGATTAATTTTGGAGGACACATTCTTCCACCATTCATGAATCTAATCCGATCATCATGCCTCAGAGCATTTTACAGGTAGTCATCCCCCCAAAAGTCAATGTAGACTAACGTTTAACATTGAAGAAACTCACTTTTCATTATTAAAGAGTTGCCTTTTCCCCAAATGTGGTTGCCCTCTCCTATTCTGCCACACAAAAGATTTACACATTTTCTGTACATATTTTGCTAACAATAGAAAACACAATTGTGTGCCACTACAGTTTCCTTTAGATTAATTAAAATAAACCATTGTTTTCTAAATGCTGAGACACTCAGCCTAGAACAGAAATAAAACATTCTGTTGAAATCTAACCTCCTCTGTAAAAGGCTCCACGTTCAGACTACACAAATATAGAGCACCAAGCAATTGTGTTTTTTTTATTTCACTTGCACAGTTATATTAATATGCATGGATGGTGTTGCTTACAACACACATCACATTGTGTGCACACAAAAAAATGTCACAATAAAAGCCACTTATTAAAATTACATAAGTGATTTCACTCCTTCAGATACTAGTATGGGCTGACATTCCTTGCAATACATTTTAATACTCTACCCAAATCCACTACACAGCATCCAATATGGTCTAGCTCTGCTGACATCCTCTGTTTTTCTGTAAGTGCTTATGGCATAAATAATCTATTTAGTATTGACCATGAGAGTCTGCAGGATACTAAGATCTTGACCAAGGCATAAAATGATGTCCTGACATGGCTTTTCTACGAAGCAACACGATTTTCTTCATGATAAAAAGATCAGATGTTGATTGTTTTGATGCTGTATTTAAGACTATATAAATAGGTGAAAAATAGTATAGGGCAGATACAGAATTTTAAGTGGTAAAGTCATACAAAGCAATTATTAGGCTCTCTTTGCTTCTGCAAATCAACTTTTATGCTTTATCTTGAAATACAATTATTTGTTGTGACTTAACTTTAAGAATTTCCAATATCCACTGACCCAACAACTAAGCCTACTATTTTGGGTGACGAAAAAAAAAAAAAAACCCCACCCAAACCTGCATTGCCCCCACAAAAACTAAGCCTAACTTACACCAAATCATCTTCCCTCCTTCGTAAATCAATTCTAAAATGTAGCCACCTCAAAAATCAATTTAACCCGCCAATCAATTCTGCCTCCACCTGAATAAGAGTAATTAATGCAAGCTCCTCCCTCCTGCCACAATCAATCAATTAATGCTGGGCCTTACTTCTCTGCAGAGTACAGAAAGTCCTGTACCAGGGTTCTCTACACCACACTCCACCCCCAGCTGGTGGAAAGAGCAGCAGCTCCAGGGAAGCTCTACTCCTTACCTCACCTTCCCATCTTGTGAAAAACGTGTGGGCTCCAGCTGCTCTGCTCCCTCCTGAAAAAGGTGCTGTGGCTGCTCTGCTTCCCCAGCCTCCAGAGACAAAACCAGCAGTTCCCCTTTCCCACTTAGCCCACAACTGGGCAAGAGCTCTAGTCTCTCTAGATGAGCCAGTGATGGGCTTGTACAGCACTGAGGAAATTTATATTTACATTATCTATACCTGCTTTAATACACTTACAAAGCTTCAGTTTGTCCAGATTTATTGCTTCCTGTCTGTTTCTTGACATACGAATGTTGAAAAAAATCCACCAGTCTCTATGAACCTTATGTGTATTCAAGGCAGACATTTTGTTGCATCTCTTTAGACCTCAAATGTCTCTTCATAAAACTATGACTGCTAAGTTCATGGCGCATCACTGAAGAAAAGATTTGTTAGTGTTTTTTTTATAGAATAGCCTTTAAATTCTAGTTTAGGTCATATGTGCAATGACTTCAAACTATTGCCCAAGTATTTTTGCATAACATAATAGGCTAATTTAGCATACTTAGACCAAGACTACAACAGCAGCTGCATTTCATGTCAGGACTGACATGCACTATCACAATGGTTCTCAACCTGTGGTCTGGGACCCCTGGGGAGTCTGCGGATTATGTCTAAGTGGTCTGTGAAAGACTTAGCCTGAAAACTGACTCAACAGAATTCAATTATATATACAGACAATATTTAATATTCAAAAGTCAAATTAGCCACTAGAGGGAGCCTATACCTCCTATTAATAAATTGGCAGAACTATTTTGCGATAGGAAGGAAGGGACTTTGAACCTTTAGATTCTTTCACACAAAAAACAAGAACAAGTTCCCCATTTTTAGCTGTATGTTTTCCATAACTGGGCTATGGAAGTGATTCTTGGATATATGCTGTTTGAATAGACCTGATAAACAACAGCAGATGTTGCTTTTGACATGTCCTCTTATGAAACTCGGTAGAGCTGGTCGCCATAAGGAGCCCATTGGTTCCAATAAGCTCACTGAGGTGGGCCATAAAGGAAGGGGGCAGGACCCCAGGATGCCCTTGACAGGGTTGCCAGCTGTATGTCCTGCAGGGTGCTGCTTCTTCAGAGTGCATCTCAAGGGAGGGAGGCTAGAATGGGAATGTAGAAGACCTTTGTGAAAGAATCTATAAGGTTGAAAGAAAGTGTAGAATCAAATGAAGTAAAAATCTTAAATGAACCAAACTGTACCATAGAATTTCTATGGATAGCAATTCTATGCTTGAATAATAAGAATATAGCAGTAGGGATATATTACAGACTACCTGACCAGGATGGTGATAGTGACTGTGAAATGCTCAGGGAGATTAGAGAGGCTATTAAAATAAAAAATTCAATAATAATGGGGGATTTCAACTATCCCCATATTGACTGGGTACATATCACCTCAGGAAGGAATGCAGAGAAAGTTTCTTCACACCTTAAATGACTGCTTCTTGGAGCAGCTAGTCCTGGAACCCACAAGAGGAGAGACAATTCTTGATTTAGTCCTAAGTGGAGCACAGGATCAGGTCCAAGAGGTGAATATAGCTGGACCGCTTGGTAATAGTGACCATAATATAATTAAATTTAACGTCCCTGTGGTGGGGAAAATACCACAGCAGCCCAACACTGGAACATTTAATTTCAGAAAGGGGAACTACCCAAAAAATGAAGAGGTTAGTTAAACAGAAATTAAAAGGTACAGCACCAAAAGTAAAATCCCTGCAAGCTGCATGGAAACTTTTTACAGACACCATAATAGGGGCTCAACTTAAGTGTATACCCCAAATTAAAAAACATAGTAAGAGAACCAAAAAAGAACCACCATGGCTAAACAACAAAGTAAAAGAAGCAGTGAGAGGCAAAAAGACATCCTTTAAAACGTGGAAGTTAAATCCTAATGAGGAAAATAGAAAGGAGCATAAACTCTGGCAAATTAAGTGTAAAATTATAATTAGGAAGGCCAAAAAAGAATTTGAAGAACAGCTAGCCAAAGACTCAAAAAGTAATATCAATAAGTACGTACATCAGAAGCAGGAAGCCTACTAAACAACCAGTGGGGCCACTGGATGATTGAGATGATAAAAGAGCACTCAAGGATAATAAGACCATTGTGGAGAAACTAAATGAATTCTTTCCATTGGTCTTCATGGTTGAGGAGGTGAGGAAGATTTCCAAACCTGAGCCATTCTTTTTAGGTGACAGATCTGAGGAACTGTCCCAGATTGAGGTGTCATTAGAGGAGGTTTTGGAGCAAATTGATAAACTAAACAGTAATAAGTCCCCAGGACCAGATGGTATTCACCCAAGAGTTCTGAAGGAACTCAAATATGAAATTGCAGGACTACTAACTGTCGTCTGTAACCTATAATTTAAATCAGCTTCTGACTGGAGGATACCTAATGCGACGCCAATTTTTTAAAAGGGCTCCAGAGGAGACCCCGGCAATTACAGGCCGGTAAGCCTGACTTCAGTACCGGGCAAACTGGCTGAAACTATTGTAGAACCAATGTGAATGAAATTGTTTTTAGTTATCCTGTACCATT